TGTTTAAAATGAGTTGTCACCTTTTTTTTTTTAATTAATTTATGTTCTTATTTTTAGTCTATTCACCCGGTTTGAGCTAGAGTGAATAAAGAATTCTGAAAAATCGATCCGATCACTAAAACTTACCCAATCGACGTTAGTTGAAATTGATTTTGTAAGTTACAAAATCGATTCACATTAATCGATTTGATCGAAATAGTGATTTCCTACCGAACTTCAATTTGTTCGATAAAAAATAAATTAATGTTGAGACTACAGCTGCCTTGGAACCAAAGATCTCATTAGTGAGATTGCTGGTTTTCTTTTTCTTTATTATTTATCCAATGTTATTCTTTCTCCGCTCTTAAATTATAGACTTATTTATTTCTAACTTTCCCATCCAATCCCTGTATCTTCTTCTTCCAATCTCACTTTTGCCTCTCTCTATTTCCTCTCAAATCTCGAGTCTCTCGGCTTCTTTTCTCTCACTCAGGCATGCTAGATGCCATTCTGTATTCTTCGATTCATCTTTAGTTCTTTCTTTAGTTATTCGTCGCATATTTTATTATTTCTCTTTATGTTCTCCAACAATGATCACCTCTTATCTAAGCTATGTTCAAATCTACAAAAGCATTACTATTATAATGTAGATTTAAATATTATTTTGATCCCTATACTTTTGGTTTTGATTCATTTTAGTGCCTGTACTTTTGAAACTTTCATTTTGGTTTCTAAATTTTTAAAAAGTGATTATTTTAGCCTATTCGTTTAATTTTATGTAATTTATTTTTATCAAAATTTTTAATGTAGTCATAAATTTGTATTAAGAAGTTTCCATTAGGTATATAATTTAAGTTAAAATTTTGTACATATAGACCAAAATAGTTTCTTTTAAAAGTGTATATACCAAAACGAATTTGATACAATGGCTTCAATAGAATTTCATTAGCAATGTCTAATAGTAGTTGGTTCAGCAAAATCTATTCAGTTCATACAATAATAATATTACATGATTTGTAAGAAATCCCCAAATACTAAAAAACAAGGCTCCCCACCAGCAAAGAAGTGAGGGGAACACTGAGGTTGTCATCAATCTCAGTGCTTATGGGCAGAGACTCTACCAAAGCTGAGGCAACAGACACAACTAAGAATCCCAAAATCATTCTGCTGCTTCCCTCAAGATACCCAAATGAGGAAAAGTAGTACATATACCTGCCATACACAACACAACTTCTTATTACTAAACAGCCCAGAAAGACTACAAAGGCGATGGCTCGGTGCTCAAGTCGGGAAATGAAGACACAGAAATTACCCAACAGATGCAAGAAAACCAGCAGATGCCATTGCCACACTGCCAGCTAGCGACTTGTTTTTGTTGTAAGAGATCTTTCGACTTCCAAATCGTCTTCCAATGACATCGGCCAACCCTGAAATAGAAAGCAATAAAAATATTATGAGGCCTCGTTGTTGCGTCGGGTAAGCTCTAAATATCAAACCTTGGGGAGAGGTATTATTATTAAGTTAATGGACAAAAGTGGGAGAAGTACCATCTCCAGCACATAAGTTGCACACAAGGGCAATTGAAATGGGGGAGGTCCTCCAATATATTATACAGGCTAATGTAATTGTTGTAACATAATATAAAGGTCCCTTCAAAAGCTCCCTGAAGCATGAAACGATGCAGGTGAGATTAAAAAATAGAGTATGAAATGGGAGATTTCACTCTATACTTGTATAAGATATCAAGATGTGCACGTAAACGCTTGCGAGTCTTGACCCATGTGTGTATGCAATGCAATGGATCGTGTTCTTCGGTATTCTCTCGGAGGAGAACTTTTGATGTAATACTATTATTCGGGACATTGCACTCCTGACCATTAAATTTCAGCCACATGGAACTCGTAAATGATATTATAATTGACCAAAAAGAAATTTCAAACGGCAAACAATGAATGAAAGGAGAAACAAACAACTGGAGTATTGGATAGTTTTGCCTTTGAAAGATCCAACTGCAGAAACCGGGGCGAAGATAAGCTATTTCCTTCACTTCTAACTACCAAAAGACTCATAATAGCAAGCAGATGACGTTCCTAAGAGTATATATAGTCAGAGATTGATCTTAATTCAAAGCTCGAATCGACTAACACACAAGCACGCCAGTAACTTATTTTCCTTGACTATGTTCTCTCTGAGTTGTACCTGTAGTCTCCATATCTGCTCATTGACTTCACCGTAGCCTCATCTTTCAATATTCCCAATCCCAAGACAAGCATTCGTATGATATTGACTCCGGGAATTAGAGACGCCAATAGAGCTCCTCGTTGACCAGAACTGCAATAAGAAGTAGCATCATTTGGTTCAAGCATATATGTGCGTGTCTAGCAGCAGGAGAAGGCTCAGAATCAACTTTTTTTCGGCCTAAGTTTACCTGAACATAGGCCAGCAAAGCATGAAAGCAAGCCCGATGCTTATATGAACAAGCTTCCTGTTCAATTTCTAAACCAAGTATAGGTAAGTACACACCTATGATAGTAGATCAGAAATGGAAAGTTGGATTCCCACAATTAGATGCCTTGATATCACAACGGATAAGCACTTTCCAATCCAATATCAGAATATGCATAACATTGATTATTTATCAGCATTGTACACAGAATATGCCATTTGTTGAACTGAGCCAATAATTTTCTTATGGTATAGCAGTACTAATGCTAAGGTCAAAAACAGAATATGAACGGCCATAATTGATTTGGGGGAATCCATTTGACCTTCTTTTTTCTTTTTCTTTTTTTTTTGATAATGGGTAGTTAGAGCTTTGTTCCTCTATTATCAAGAGCACCAGTACCTACCTCAAGGACTGTATCCAGAAGACATCAAGAGTTTTTGGTATTAAACTTACTAAAAATTTCGAACATAACACCTCTGATCTAATCTAAGCCAGCATGATCAAGAGACTCTAAGGTCTTGCCAACGCCTTGGGCCAATCATTTGACCTTCTAAAAACTCCCAGTAACAAGAAATCTAACAAGATACTTTGGGAGAAGGCCAAAAATCCACAGAAGCTATGTTTGAGAGTGCTTTAGATATGACCAAACCAAAAAAGCAATAACATAAAAGTGTCTTTGGAAGGGGGAAAAAAAAGTGGTTTATGCGAAAGCAGTTCCCAGAAACTAGAGTGTTATTGTCCCAAAAGCAACAGTGAAATTATCTAATTTTACTTAAAAATCCCTTTGATTGAAACACCCCTTCTAATTTTAGCTCAAGATATTCGAACAAAACCCCAAAAGCTAACCATTAATTAGAACATTTCTCTTGCAGTTTTGAGTTTGTCTCATTAGGATTCCTTCCATGAATAATTTCCCCTCAATTTCTTTCACTTCTCACAAACTCCTTGTGGTGTAGCCCATAAAAATTTCCCCAAATAAACCAAGCAATCGTCCAAGAGAAGAAAAGGGTAAAAAGCAGATGAGTGAGAAAAAAGAAATAGAACCTGATCAAGGCCACGTTTCGCCGTTTCCTGCCACAATCGAAGCAAGGATAAGGCGATTCCACCCGCGACGGCGGTGGCGCAGATGTCGGAGACCACCGGATTATCAGGCAACAACATAACTGCCGCAACCGGATACTGATTCCGGCGGATTTTGGGAGCACTGGTGGAGCCAAATCTTAAAACGAAGCGATGGCAGCACAAGGTTGGCGCAGAGATGGGGTTGAAAGAGACAGAAACAGGCTTGAATTGGGGGAGAAATTTTGGGAACCGGGCGGAAAATGAAGGGTCAAAAAGCCCAATTGAGGAGCGGAATCGGACTTGAAGAATTGCAGCCATTTTGGGTTTGCTTGGGAGCGGTCGATGGGGTGGGAGCTATGGCGATAGCCATAGCCACAGCCATAGCCATAGCCACAGCCATAGGGGCTCAGCTCGAGCGCTCGAGCGCCCGCCAGTACTTTCAATTTCAGGCAAAGGATTTAATGAACTTTCTGACAGTTTACGGCCTCGCTACGACGCTAGTTTGTCATGTGCGAATTTTGTTTGATTAAATTAAATTCCCAATTTGGCTTTCAACCATTTAAAATAAAAAATAAAAATAAAAAAGTTTCCAGTTTTGGACACTCATATAACTGTCCGTTTGGTAACTTTATTTTGAAAGATTTCAAAATCATACCACGTGATTTCGCAGGATTTATTTAACCTTGTTATTTTAATTTCTAATTAATAAATTTAGATTAAAAATATAAATCAGCAAAATTTTTATTAGAAATTTAATTTAAATCATTTCAATAATTTAAAATCATTTCTCACCTTTCAAATCATGAAATTTAAATCATTTTTTTTAACTTTCTTGACATCAAACAGATGGTAAATCGGTCGAAAAATGAAAAGATCAAAATTATCACTTTTTGAAAATATACGAACCAAAACGAAAAGTATTTTAACCATAAAATAAAATAACTTTAAATTTTTAATTTTGTGTCTAATAATATTGTATCTCGAAGAATATAGAGAGGTCTAATAATTATTTTAAGATATCAAGAAAATAATTATCTAATAATGTTACTTAAATCGAGGGAATTTTAAAATTACAAATTTTAAGATTGTGTTTATCAAGGGTCCGTAATTAACTAAGGGTGAATATTACTAATTAGTGATACTAATTTTAAAGAATCTAAATTTTAACGAAAATTATTTCAATATCAAACAACAACAAAAAAACACCTAAAATTGAATACAGTAAATGGAAGCACCTATATACAATCTAAACAAATAAACGTGAATTAGTATCCATATTTACACTAAATTATTGAATAGTGGCAAAAATATCAAAGGGGTGAAAGAAACTAGAGTAACTTTTTTACACGATGGCTAACGAAATAGAAGAAACGTCTATATGATTTCTTCTAAAGATATTGATATAGTGATTGGATCTTCAATGGTTCATTTTACTGCATTTTGAAAGAACTTCATTTTAGTAAGAGATAAAAAATAAAATGTTTGATGTTATAAATCAATATGATACTTTATCACGATGGGATGGACTCAATAATTAATATGTTTTTATCATATCATATGCTTGCTTAAGTTCGAAGAATCCACTAATGTATTTAACATTTATACTGTAATTTCTTTTAATACAATATATATCTATTGAATATTTAACAATTACAATGCCTTCTTAGGAACCTACGTCGTGTATGTTCTACTTTATTTAATATTTTTTAAATCAAAGAAAGATTGCATTAAAAAAAAATCGGATCGCTAAGAGTTACATTAGAAGAGTGGTGACCACAACAATCCAGAAAACAACTATCTTAAAAGATAGACAAACGGTCAGAAATATCACACATAGCCAATAAAACAACTTGCATGTTCAAAACACAAGAAACATGAACAAATTGTTGGGAGACAAATGAATTTGAGAAACTCATGGATACGATGATGGATGGAAATTGGTTGTGCAAGTCAAGATACAAGTGGTAGGTGTAGAGAAGGAAGTGGTGTTTCAAGTATACGTGGGTGGCCAAAACATTTTTGTATTTTTAATTTTAAAAAATTCAAGTTCTATTTTTGGGCAACTACATGAGTATAAATAAGGGTCATTCCCTACCATTTTTCAATCATCACATTATTTCAAGTTCTCCACCACCACTCTCTCTTACACTGTTCTTCAATTTTTCACTTCTCTCCACTACCTTAAACTGAACACGAGATTGATTCCAATCTCATTCCAACGAGTGCACGTCTGAGTTGGATGTTGTGTTAACTTTGGAGAGATGCCGGCAATAAAACGATTTAGCACCGAGGTCGTGTTGATTTTGCTTTCAAGGCAGTGGTTCCACCCACAGTACAACATTTTTAGCTCCTGGTTCCAATTTTGTTCTTTATTTTCCAACAATTTGAAAGCAAAACTCATCTACCCATGGCTGCTATCCGATCTGGAAAAGCCTTACTGGACTTGTCAAAATTGGAACCACTCGACGGATCCAACTACTGCTGATGGTCACAGAAGTTACTGATTTTCTTTGAGCAGTTAGAGATCGACTACATCCTCACTGCTGCTCAACCCGTCGCCATTGCCACCGCTGCAGCCATTATCACTATCGTTGCTACCACTACTGCCACTACCGCTTCCATCAATGCAGTCGCCATTGATCCACCTGCCATTGTTGTTGCCACTGTTTCAACTATCGCTGCTGATCCAGGGACGTCTACTGCAACTGTCGTCGAAACTGACAAATTCGAGAAAGACAACAAAATGGTCAGTGGGCATATTCTCAACCATATGAACAACTCTCTTCTTGATCTCTTTGTAGTCTAAAAATCTGAAAATTTCATTAGGGACACGTAAGAGTCTAGATATGGCTGGGACGATGCAGGCAGAAGAAAGTAAGTCGTAGTAAATTGCTGCAATTTCAAATGTCGGATGACAAATAGGTGAAGGATTAGGTTCATGAATACAAGAACCTAGTGGCAAGTGTATTGTTTGAAGGCATGAAGATGTACGAGATTCTTCAAGTCAATGTGTTGCTCGAGAAATTTCCTCATTCCTAGAGTGATTATCGAAACCACCTGAAACATAAGAAGAATGACCTGACTCTGCAATAACTGATAAGTCACGTGCGCACGGAGAAAGCCAACAAGCTAAATGATAAGCTTTCTTCTCAATCCCTAAAATCAGTTTAAGCTAATTTAATTGAATCTTCTAGGGCTTCCAAAGACGGGTTCAAAAACAAAGGGAAGCAAATTGCAAAGGATAGAGCTCAAAATAACCAAGGTCTCCAACCCAAAAATACTGGTGGAAGAATCGAGAAATCGAAATTGGTATACTATGTCTACGGAAACCCCAGGCACAAATCCTATTAGTGCACCCAGAGGAAAGATAGGAAAGATCAAAGGGCTGCTCCACAAGCCAACCTTGCAGAGACGGACGAYATCATTGCCACTGTGATTGTGAAGAAAATCTGGTAGATAATAAATCCGACTGGATTCTTGACACAAGAGCATCTAGACATGTTTGCTGATGGCGAATGTATTTTTATGAGGAACTCTGTCACAGCTGGAGTACTTGGGAAATGGAATGTTCTCTTGCAACTCACATCTGGCAAAACTTTATCATTAAGTAATGTGTCGTATATTCCTTCCCTATGTAGGAATTTGGTGTTAGGAGATCTATTGAACCGAGCCGGACTTAGGATTTTATTTGAGGCCGTCAAAGTTATCATCACAAAAAATGATGACTTTGTTGGTAAGGGCTATTTAGCAGATGATTTGTTTATTCTCAACACTACTTCTTCAAATGAAACTAATTCTATTACTGCTTATATCGTTGAGTCTCTTGATGTGTGGCATGGTAGATTAGGGCATGTGAATATTGCATCGATTAAAAGGCTTAGAACTTTAATTTAATTAATGCTTCTGATTTGCCTAAAACTGCAAAATGTCTCATCTGTGTAGAAGCAATGTTTGCTAAAAAAATCTTTTAAATCTGTCAYTACAAGGTGTACTGAACTCTTAGAATTAATTCATTCTGATTTAGCTGATTTCAAAAACACAAAAAGTAGAGGTGGAAAAAATTACTATATTTCCTTTGTTGATGATTTTTCTAGATATATGAAAATATATCTCCTAAAATCTAAAGATGAAGTTAGTAGTATGTTTTTTAAATTCAAAGCTGAAGTAGAAAATCAATTAGACAGAAAGATAAAAAAGATAACATCAGATAGGTGGTGAATATAGTGATAATTCGCTTAGAGATTTTTGTGAATCAAGTGGGATTATACATGAATTTACTGCTCCATATTCACCTCAATAGAATGGAATAACTGAACGGAAAAATAGAATTTTAAAAGAGATAATAAATGACATGCTATTAAGTTCTGGTTTATCTATTGATATGTGGGGGAAGCTGCACTTTCTGCCTATTTTATTCTTAACAGGGTCCCCTCGCAAAAAGTTGGATAAGACACCATACAAGCTCTGAAAGGGGTATTCGCCAAACCTGAGCTACTTGTAGGTGTAGGGATGCTTGGCAAAGGTGACATATCCAGCATTCAAAAAACCAACGGTTGGATTTACAACTTTTGATTGTGTTTTCACCGGTTATGCTCAAAATAGTTTTGCATATAGGTTCATGAGCTTGAATGATAAATCAATATGTGAGTATAGAGATGTTGTATTTTTTTAAAATATCTTTTCTATGATTAAAACTGGTGGTGAATCTAGTGGTATTTCAAAAACTGCATGCATGTCATTGCCCTTCACTTCTGTTGATATGATAGACCTTGAACCTAGATCCGATGATGCAATAGATTATGAACCTAGGAGAATTAAAATGCAAAAAGTTAGTAAAAGCTTCAGACCTAATTTCCCAACTTCCTATCTGGTAGAAAACTTTGACAAGATAGATGATCAGTTCACCTGCATGTATTTGATAGACGAAGATTCTAAAACCTACCAATAAGCTATAAATGCTTTAGATTCTAAGCTGTGGAAAGAAGTTATTAAAAGTGAGCTAGACTCCATAGTTATGAATCAAATCTGGGAATTGGTAGATTTACCGGTAGGAAATAAACCTATTAAGTGTAAATGGATCTTAAAAGAAAAATGAGACCATATGGTACGATAGAAAAATACAAAGCTAGACTAGTGGTTGTAGATTACACACAAAAGTATGACATTTATTACTTCGATACATACTCTCTCGTAACTAAGATTGCCCACAATTAGATCTTTGATAGTGTTGGCGGCTATTCAAGGCTTAGTAATACACCAGATGGATATAAAAACAACTTTCCTTAATGGCGATATAGAATAGGAGATCTATATGACACAACCTGAAGGTTTTCTAGCTACAGATCAAGAAAATAAAGTATGCAAGCTCAAAAAATCTCTCTATGACCTAAATCAAGCTCTGAAACAGTGGTATGAAAAATTTAATGGCACTTTGGTAAATAATGGTTATAAAGTA